TATTAGATCTTTAAATTTCCCTAGCAATTGAAACAATTAAAACAAAATTATTATAAAAAATTATGATGAATTTGTTATTAACAATGCATTTTGCATTAGGTAACTTTATATTTTTGCAAGACCCTTACCATTTGACTTCAGTATAATAGGAAACATGATAAATTGTTAACACAAAAAAAAAATGAGCAGAAATATAATTAATGTATATAGACTAAACAGTGATAGAAAACAATTTATTTTTTTTTAATTTAATAATTATCAGTGCAATATATAATTTTAATTTAATAGGTCACTAAAATTTATTTTTTTATTTATTAATAGAATTAAAAAGGTTGTATCATTAATGAAATTTGTAATATTAACTCCTAACGAATTTATTAAATTTTGATTAAAATTATCATTTTATTAAGTAATGACTAAAAAACTTCAAAAATGAAATAAGCAGTTAATGTACAGTAAATATTAAATAAAAATATTTTAACTTATTAATTGACGCTAAATTAATTAAGTAGCGAAAAGTAATACTAATTTAAATGTTGATATTATTTTTTTCTTTGATTTATAAATTTACAAATGTATTAACTTGAAAAAAAATCCTTGGCATCGTGCACTACTTGAGAATTTGAGATGAGTTTTTGGGAACCACTGTATTAGATAGAGCATTTAATTTCGTAATTGTCATTGTTTAATAATTTCCTGTATGTGTAATTCATAATAATTATACTTCCTTCATTAAAAATATCGCTAAAAAAAATATTGAACGTATTATTAACCATAATTTAAGTATATGAGTTAAGATTTATTTAGCACATAAATATTAAATGTTCTAATAACATATGAAGTCAATAGTATAGGTACGTTTTCTAAATAATAATGTTTGACATAAAATCGATGTTTTCTGTCTATTATGTTATAGCAGCATACAAAATAAAAACTTTTGTAATTACTATAATTTACATTATTTAATTTAAAAATTAAATTACTTTAATATACAAGATGGCAAGGTAAATATTAATTAATAAATAAATAATGAAGATTATTCTATCTTTCATATATATATATATAATTTATACTAACCTATCATTATAGATATGACAGATATCATGATGTGTGAAAGTCTTGAAATAGTAATGAATACATATAGACATTATTAATACCTTATTATTAATAAGTTATTAATAACAGTAAGTTATATATAAATAAGTTATTTACAAAAATAAGTAGTTAAAAATTATATAATATATAGCCTATAGAAAATCAATAAATTAATAATATCGTTCAGAATCTAAAAAACAATAAATAATTATTAAAATATAAAAACAAAAAGCAATAGTATCTACTTATACTACTTTTTTTATTACTATTATTAAAAAAATGTATATAAATGCATAAATGATAATAAAAAACATTATTTCACAGTGAAATTTTGAAATTTGTGATATAATAAAAATAATATTACGTATTGAGATCAGAAGTGGTTTTAAAAACCATATTTAGTAATACATGACACCTAAGACCCATACACTAACTCCTCTCTCCCTTAAAATATATTAATACTTGGGTTGCACACAAAATTGTATACTCGTGTAGTCCCTGATTAAAAATTGAGATGTCGGTAATCTAAAATATTATTCCATAACGAAGATTCATTAGATAAACAATATAAATAATAGTGATTCAAAGTAACTAATGAGTATATTATAGAAAAATAGTTTCCTCTCTGTGGGTATAGTAATCTATATTGGCTCATTCAACACAATAAATAACTAACAGATGAGAAAAATGTGGTTAGTTATTAAACTTATAAATTATATACTACTCATATTCAGATATAACCTTGAGAATAATTTAATTGGGCATCGTTATAGGTACTTATTTTATGTTCAAAAATAAATAAAGGTACTTAAGTATAATAAAGCAATCCAAAAAATATTAAATATACTTACCACTTAGTTTCCGGAAAAAAACACAGCTTCATAATACTTGATTAACGATTAGTTATATTAAATCATAATATATAGGTAATTCATATGAAACTTTTAGCCATTTTCTCTAAAAAAGCTCACTTCTGTTAAGCCAATAGCTAATTAGTTGCAAAGTAAATATATACATTATAATGCTATGACCTATATAAATCATGTTATTACATTTATATGATGTTTGTATTATGTTTATAATTATAGTTGTCAGCTACAATGTAAATTATTTTTAGTATCAGAATATCCGGTATTCCATTCATTTTATTCGCGATCATTCGTACAATACCAGGTATTGTTTAAGTTAGGTTATTTTTTAGACATTTAATTGTTCACATCATACATTACAAGTTACAAAATTACTACTTACTGCAAAACAGTTTTGATTTACTTAATTTTTACGTTTAATTAACATGATAATTAATTAGTCAAACACAATTATATAGTTGCCGAAGTCTTGTTTAGTCTCTACGCCATATATAAATAGTATTTAATGATAATAATGGATAATGGATATTTCATTAAATACTTTTATTTTCCTGTAATTGTCATAGGCTTTAACTAATTATAATAAATTATCATAATTATAACTACAACTTATAGTCGAAACTATTATTGTTGATATAATTTACAGATCTCAAACTTCAGTTTATATAAAATTGAAGATGAACAAATAACTAAATATAAAAAAAAGTAAATATTTTATTGTAAAAAACTCGTAAGACATATAAAATACTAAGATATAATATTATATAGCTAAAATAATATTAGCTAATTATTATTATAATAATAAAAACTAACCTACTATGTTATACGTACCGACAAAAAATATTATATAGTAGGTATTTACTATCTGTTTTTCATGTGAACTGTTCAGAGTTAAAAGTGAAAATAGTCAATTTTTTTTTCAATCATCATTAAAAATATTTATCAATATAAGTTTAATTAGAAGATTAGTACTTAAAAAATGTTGACTCATGGTAATAAAATAATTGATAGAACCCAGAACTTAGTGAACTTAGATTTACTTTTCTTCGTATGTCCAATTTTGAACAAGCTAGTAGATAGTAGTAATTATAATATTTAATCATTTTAAAATAATTATAACTTGTGCTTTGTATATCTTTTACAAAATTTATGATATATTTTGTATTTATTTAGACTTTTAATGCTCAATAAATACATTATGAATTACATAATATATTAAAATCAAAAGTTACCATATGTCATCCATTAATGGTAAAATTTCTTTGAAAATTGTAAAATTTAAAATTTATTAACTTATTTATAAAATCAATCTTTTTTTAATTTTCAATTTGGTTATTGATATGGTTTCTTTCAATTTTTTATTGTCGATTCCAATCTTCAAATTATAAAGGAAGTACCTATAAGCTATAACAGAAATTCGTTTTTTATAGTTTGATGATATTTTGATAAAATAATTATTACTTCCTACTATTTTACAATATTTATTATTCTCTCGATTAGGCAAACACGCATATATATATGTGTGTGTGTGTGTGTGTGTGTGTGTGTTAAGAATAATTGTAGCATAGCGTTATAACCAAGGCTGTGAATTTAATGCGTTTACATGTTTTTTTTGCTACGTTGTATACTAAAACAGATTCGACCAAAATTTGTTTGGACTTATTTATAGTTAAAATAACAAATATTATTTTACATATTTTTGCATTTTTCATGGGTTAGAGCATATAAATATATTATATAAAATATATATTATTTAAAATATACATTTTAATAATTTTTTCATGTAAATGCTTTTTTTGAACTATTTTATTTTTGGCCGGGTACTAAAGTATATTATTGACTATTGTATTCTTGAAATCGATATAAAATTGATTTATTGATATCACCTTGTACATAACGGATGACAAAAATCGTTTGACAATCGTTTTTAATTTAGACATTTGGTGCGATCCATTGACAAAACGTGCGACTTTCCCTGTGTTCGAGTATTATTCTTGTTCGCATTGATTTTTTTGTTTAATTGTTTTATTACACGTGTTCAGTACTTTATACTTCATATTTTTAAAATAATATCGTGAAATAAAAATACCAAAAGAAAAATCATCTGTTACTACCCTTTTAAAAAAACTACGTTTTGATATTTGGAAACACATTTACAACGGTCAATAAAATTCTATTTTGTACAGTATACAATATAAAAATAGCTAGTGGGCAGTGATAAACGTTTTTCTGTAATACAATATATTGCAACTGAAAAACATCGAAGAAGAGTCAATCGTGTAGAAAACAAAAAAAATTTTAGCAGCTTATTTCACAAGATTCGTCCTCAAAATCTTCATTTAACAATGAGTTATATAAAGCCACGCTCAATGCTAACATTCCACTTAATAAATTCAGCTATACACATTTCGAACAATTATGAGACATGGAAATAATTTTGAAAATATAAACACCAATAAATAATAATAAATCAACTGATTTTATAAATCTATAAGATTATAAAATAAACATCAAAGTTCAAAATACGTTTATGATTTTTAAGATAAAAATATTTTGGTACTGATTATATTTTAGGACTTAAATAGTTAAAAGAATAAAAACACTTAAAATTAAATTTCCTGATTATTATTTCAAACGTATAACAATAAGTAAATTATATTTATAATCTAAACATAAATTTAAATTTATTTAATGAAAATATACTAATAGATACATACTCGTATATTATATTTGACCTTCACAGATTTAAAATAACAAGTCATGATAAAAATAATGTTTATCTTATTTTTATCAATATATGATAATAATTTAAAATTAGGTTAAAAGTGTTTACAGCTTTTACCAACTAAATATTATAAATTATTTACTTGCATTATAATTTATGATAACATTTTAAGTTTTAAAAAGAGTAGTTATAAATTGGTATTAGTTTAAAAAGCCTTAACATTCAAATGTAGATATTTACCAGATACTAAGTATTTAAATATACCACTATATTTACAATATTCTAACTAATCGCAATGCAAATCCCCACTAAAATAGTCCATTGAATAATGTTTTGTGGAACGTACAGGAAAACCACTTAGTCGCCGATTTTGTTTACGTTCAACTGCAGACGTGAAACTACGCGCTAATCCTACAGTTACACAGTGATTTTTAAAAATAAATCATCGTTTTTAAAATCAGGTGGATTGTTAGCGATGAATAAGGAACAATCAAAAAAGCTTCATATACCTTTTCCGACAGGTACAAATTTTTAACTTGAATTTATGTTTTGTTTATAATTGTAATATAACCATATATTAGATAATTATTTCAGATAAGCTAATGTCTATTGCCAATCTATAAAGCTTAATTGTTATTACACTTATTTTGTTAATTTATATTAATTATTTAGCTTATTCCAAAAGTAGCTATAGGTACATATTATCATAATTTTGTGTACTTATACAGTCATAATATAATAGTTTTTTTCATCAAATTGTAATAAAACGATCATTTTAATTTCCATACACAATGTCAGACATTAATTCCTAATTAAGGTTAATTAATTTAGCGATAACCAGTATCTATAATTCACATGTTCTGATGTAAAAATTTTAAATAATATTAATGCGTTAATTTAATTTAATTTTTATTTTTTATTTATAATTTTACATTACCTAATATGCATAGGATACCATAGTATTACAAAAATATATCATATTTTAGATGAACTTAATGCTTAAATACTAATTCAATGTATATATTTATCATTAATAATTTTAATGATACTAATATTAAAATATATTAGTTGAAAATAAAGCAAAACATATTCTTACCTATCTATTTTTTTAGGGAGTTGTTATTGAAAATTTTTTCCTAAAACTTTTACTTACATTTTTACCTACTTATTTATAATACATAAAACCATTATATTTTTTTTAGTTTATTTATCAACTTTCCCCTCTCCGTTGGTATTTTTTAAACCTAAGAATCTAATGTATTAATACATAAAACACTCGTGATATTTTTATTATTTTTAATTCGCACTTATCATTCTTTCTAAAAATGACCTCGCCTACCTCACTAAATTCAATATTTAGTTTATCATGATTTTAAACCTCAATTTATTTTATGGTAATGTAACTTGTTGTGAAACCGGTATTTTAGAGTCTTTTTTTTATTTCCGTGCCTGTATTTTCTGCTCTGTTAAACATATTATATTAAACATGTACAGTATTGCAATAAGTAGAAATACATTTTATAACACATTGTGTTATATTATACTTCCATATTTTATATTTAATATACCATTTTTTCACTGGAACATGAAAAAATTTAATCCTTTTTTTTTAATGTAGATGCAATTAATACATTGTTATCCCACTTATCTACCTATACACAAGGAGTAAACTAGTTTTGGTTGAGCATTCAAAATTTCTGATTATCACAAATATTATTTTAACACGAATACATATTTTTAATTAATATTTTTATAATTATTAAGTGCTTAAAATAATACTCTTATATTTTCCCAATTGTGTTTATTTATTATACATTTCCTGTTTAATATATACATTAGTTTATTATACTCATACATTTTAACATATTAAATTTATTAAATACACGATGTGTATAAGTCTTTGTATTACTAAACTAAGATCTCAATACCTAAATAATTTAAATTTAATTACATTTTTAAGTAAAAAATATTTATATATATATATTTGGGGGGGGGAGTATAGTAAATTTGCTTTATTGGCTTATTTTATAATCTACTCAAATGATCTAGTCTCAAAGTTAATTCAATAAGCTACAAATAGTGTATAAACAAAACTCATTTATTATGATCTGATCAATGTCTATACATAAAAATAAACTAACGTCTAAGTCTAACTGTATGCTAAACCAACTGAACCACAGAGTTTAAAACAGTATACTTTCTAGTTTCTATAATACAAAGGTGACCAACTTGTGGCTTTCATCTTATTTTATAAAACCAAAATTTACTTATTATTACAATTAATTTAATTTTTTTCGATACACATTAATAAAAAGTGTCAAATTATATAAAATGTATTTATAAACATTTTGACTTTTGGTAGGTACCATTGTATTATATTAATATATGTATCTTGCTAACATATTCATGCTGACCACTACTATTGTAATGTACATACACACAGGCCTGTCGTTAGGGAGGAGGAAAAGTAGGATTCCTCCCGGCCCCCGGGCCCGAACGTTTTAAAGGGCCCGAAAAAGATAACTAATAATATGTAATGTATAAATACATATAAAAGATATAAAATTATTTAAAAAGCAATTTAATTAAAAAACTAATATTGTTTACAAATATGTGCTTTTACTTTGTTACTTGAAATAGAAAAAGTATAAATATTTGAAATTTATTTGGTCTTGTGAGAAATTGCGGGAAGGAGGGTGACCGTGGCTCCTGAAACCACCACTAATAGGGGCCCTTAAGCATTTTCCTCCCGGACCTGAACTTTTCTCTCTACGGCCCTGCATACACAACTACAGGTATCATAAATTCACCATTATTATTATTTTTTTTTTTTTTTTATTGATTTTTTAGCTAGGCAACTAAGGCCATTAGCTTTAAAAAACGTACAGTAGGTTTTTTGTGTAGGGTTTTATTTTTAAGGTGTTATGTATGTGTGTGCACCATGGATTCGCCACTAAGAAATTGGATGGTCACCAATCCGAAAGCTAGTGACGCCGGTCAATGCTTGACCTCAGAACTCAGAACACAAAAGTGACTGAGGTCAACTATTCATCATTATTTTTTATTAATATAATATAATGAATATAATTAACAATTATATAGTTTTTTTTTATGCATAAGGCTAATTTAAGGTTCATATACTTCTAAAAATATTAATTTAAAATAAAATAATACTTTCATTTTTTTATTTGAAAACTAGACCATTTTGTTGTCTTTATGACTAGTTTTTTGTGAAATCCTTATTAATATAAACCCGTGCTTATATTACTATTCCATGATGAGTTAGAGTTACAAAAAGTTTAATAAATATTAAATACAAATTATTTTTGTTGGCACTTTGCGACTATGCATAAAAGCGATATATACTATAATTTAGGGAGTTCATCGATCCTCGAAGTAAGGTGTTCACTGTATTGATATGCATAGTAGCTATATAATAAATATTCATTGTATACCTATATATTTTAAATAATTTCTTAATTGTACATTTATACCTTACTATACATAGTTTTACATATATTTATTTTATTAAAAAATGTTTAAGTATAATTACAAATTTAATTGTCATGTTTCATTAACTTTGACATTACTTACTTCTAGGTCCACACGCAACAGGATGTATGGAATTGATGACAGAATATTCTGAAGAAGGGTGTTTTACGAGAGTATTTTATCCAACTAACATTCCATCTGACCAATTGGATGTAAGTATAACAGAATACCATAATATGATATAATAATCTCAATATACGTATAGCAATACAACTTCATAAAATTAAAATACCTAATTTATTTATTTAGTTTAATTTATTAAAAGTGCTAGCAACATTTTTCACTTCTATTGGAAAATTAATTTCTCTATCAAAGGCAAAATAGACCGACCAATAATCGTGATGCTCATTATAAGGGGTATTTTTAGTCTTAAAAAATTGTTTCTAACAATATTAAACATTGTGTTCAAAGATCTAACGCTTATCTTTAGATATTATGCTGTAATGAATATGTCAAACAGTAAGGTATTATAAAAAGGTCATTTCTCATTGCATACAATAAATTATAATTGATCAAGTTTTGGATTAGACTATTTATTTGTTTTATAGACTACCGATTGCTGAATTTCTGTTTAAGATATTAAAGCGCATGAATTATATTTATTTTTAAAACATTATAGATTTTAAACTGTTATTTTAAATCAAGAAAATTAGACAACCAATATTTTTAATAGCTCACTATTTAGTCTATTTGATTGGTATTAATAACTAAAATATGTTCAATTGAACTATTAAATTAGGTACTAAACTTAATTATTATTATTATTAATTCATAGATATTAGGGAGGTTTTCCATTATACTACGTATTATTAGTTATTCAAATATATCACCTTTATGTTTTTATTTATTAAGATAATTTTTTTATGAATATAAAATATTTTTTAGACGTATTAATTACAGTTTTAACAACATTAACTAACTTAAAACCTACTAAAACTTTTTGAATAAAAATTACTATTTCTATAATTGTTAAATTTCTTTGTTTTTGACGTTTCGATACTTGAAGTAAAATATAAGACAGATTTAACGGTTCTAAAATGTTTTGTTTATATAAATTACTGTGACTTTTATTAAATGTGTAAGGCTTATATATAAAGGTACATAAGTCTAAAGAGAACGTGACAAAATGAGTATATTATTTCTATATCAATTGCACAATGAAACCAAATTCATTACGTTATGTCTAATCAAAACTTGTGGTCTGTGTCCTGTGGATTCTAGACTATTGCATAATTAATATTTGATGACTTATTATCAAACTAAGTAATTATAGCATACTATAAACCTAAGAAAACTATTTGTTTGATATCTGTATTTCACAACAATGTGAAAACATTTCAATAAGTTGAGAGTTGGTTGGGGTATTAAAGAGAAGAAATATGAATATATAAAGTTAAGAATATTATTTGTGTATTTACTATTGAATTTTATTATTATTATTATTGAAAGTTTTAAACATTTTTTTCTTTAGCATCTTACATACTTAATACTTATTGGTCATTATATACCTAATATATATTTAAAACTTACTTTAAAATTAAAATATAAAAAAACAATGAGAGAACACAAATAACATTCTTACCCTTTAATTTAATAATTGGTAAATTTTATTTAATTATAATAATAATATCAGTAAAATTGAGTCTTCTGAACATAAAATTTTCTGTGTTATATTTTAAGACTAAGTCAATATATTATCATAATATCATAATATCATTTTAACTAAAATAACATATTTTTCAATTTTAAGTTAATTGCATTAATCAAAATTTAAAGTGTTTATATTATCTATTATTTATGAATACTATTGCGTTGATTACAGAAATACTCGGATAAATGGGTTCCATGGATTCCAAATGAAATGTATTTGAAAGCATTTGCCAATGCTCTTCGTTTACCTTATTTCATATTCAAGTATGTTCCACCACTCATTGGTCAAGGTAATGATTAATTTTTAATAGTTTCATATTGAATTTAATTAATGAGTGATGACATTAAAGATTACTAATGTCGATCAGTGATCTATAATTATAATACCTATATAGAAATTTCAAACATAATAATATCTTTTTTTATCTATATTGATAATTAAGTTTTTACACTCTATCCTGTTTATGCAATAACTAAATTTAATATCTTATTATCAAAATTTAAAAAAAAAATCAAATGCTAAGTAAGTCATTAGACTATGTACGATTTAAGTATTGGCTTATAGGTTATCCGGTAGAGTAAGTAACAACTTTGGTAAATCTATATCCTAAAAAATAATAATTTATTTATCATATTATAATATGTACCCATCTATTATACTTTTATTAATAATTATAGATTTTAATATATTATATTATCATAAAAATAAATCTAAGAAAGACTTATGTGTAATATGATATGTAAAATCTAAAACTATAAACAGTTAACAATATAAATTAGTTATAACTTTTACCAGAAGATATAGTATCATACTATATTCATGTGCCTACTATTTAAAAGCTACTGGTATTTTTAAAAGTGCACTGCTAATTTATTTTTATTTTCTGCTACATACATGCTAAGGATAATTTGACTTACGAGTTAAAAATTACTATTTAATATGATTTTAATTATATACCTATGCACGTTACTTAAGCGTATGGTTTAATTGTCAAAGTAGGTATCTAACTACCTAAGTATCATCGTACTTATTAAGCAACGACTACGGATTAATGATAGGTATAATACAGAATATCTTCAAGAGAATTTTTCAATGCAGTTAAATTATTGAGAAAGGCTCTAAGACAGAAGTGATCATCCCGATTGATCTCTTTTTTTTACATATATGACCATGCTATTAAGTATTCCGTCTCCATACGGTTGGCTAATTGGTTATTTTTTTGAATTTTTTTTTAATTGTGTTTTTTCTTAAATTACGAGTATAATTCTTTTACAGTAATAAACAATTTTATGTTTAAGCACTTATGAAAGTGATTACGTATTTTTGTGTTATCTAACTATAAGCAGTTATTTAACAATAACTGAGATATTATTTTGATTTTCGAGCATAAATTGAACATAATTAAAATTTCTTCAAAAACAGATTATTCGTAAATATTAGATTTCAACGTAAAATTAATATATTTATCTATTGTATAATGAAAAAAAACTTACAAAACAAATTTTTTAAAAAAAAAATACACTAACCAAACCTGTAGAAAAAATAAATAATGTTTCCATTTAAAAATAAATAAGTTGTAGTGCGCACGCGTGGATCAATTGGGTTAAAATTTTATAATAAGGAACCTGCAGAGAATAATAAAAGTTATACTAACTTCTGTGCGTCTAACCATGGCGCCCTAGCCTTAGCAAATAGGTAACTCATTTCATCGGGATGATAAGTGGTAATGATGATGCACACAAACACACATAATAACAAATTTCGTTCCTCTCAAATTTTGTCGCACTGCAAATCCACACACTATTAATAAAGACACATTTGCATAACGATGAGAAAAGAGTTTGATCAAAATCGAACAGCAAAATGAAAACGAAGAAAGAGGCTAAACAATTGAAAATGACCGTGTTTTTCTAAAACTTACTGAATAAAAATTAGGTTACTCGCTCCTGGATGCACCATCATAAACATAGACCAGGGTGATCCAACCCACGGCCCTCTAAACCATTACCCCCTAAAAGACATGTATTAAAAATAAAAGAAATCAAGTCACAATAACATAATTACAAAATTGTTGTATGGTATACAATGATGAGATCTATTCTAAATATAAGTAACCTAATCATCATACTTATTAAATATTAATCTGTGATGTAATAATTTGTACATCATATAATATTTTTGCAATAAAATAAAATAAATATTATATCCCGTTGTTAAATCCAAGAAAAACAATTAACGTCTAATTTTTAATTTCCCGAAGGCGTTCAATAAAATCTTTTTTCTCATTATCGCTCCCCAGAGATAAATTATTATAGAATAAATACCGAAATTTCTAATAGGTACCGTGAATTTTATTATCTATGTAAATTTACATGTTATTGGCACTACAGGTTGTAATAGTGCAGAAACTGTGTACATTGTATATTTCCTGCAATAAAGTAATCTTAATTGTAATTTTTTTTAGTAGGTTTATAGTAGATTTTTAGAGGAATTTTTACTACCAAAAGCTTAAAAATAAAACTATTTATAATGTAAATATATAAGTGTAGGTATATACTTTTATAATAGTGCATCTAAGTTATTATAATTTATATAACGCAGACAAAAATGAAACTAAGATTTTTTAGAATTTTTTATAATAAATCGTGTTTATTTTTCATATTGACTTTATTTTTTCTATCATATAACGTATAAAAATGAAATTTTCAATTTTAAAAATTTTTATTATAAAAATGGGTGAGGAATAGTAAAATAAAATTAGTACTGATGTATGAAAATTCTGAATAACAGAGGCGACTATATCAAAAAATTATATTAAAACAATATTATTGCTTTTGATTTTACAGCACCTTACTACATACCAACCATTAGTGATGCACCGATATCGGACAAAGAACAATCGTATCCCTTTATCATATTTTCACATGGTTATGCTGCGACGAGATTCGTTTGCTCTGATTTTTGTAACACTTTGGCGTCATATGGATTTATAGTTGCTGCAATTGAACATAGGTCAGTAATATCAGTTATAGTAATTAATAATATTAAAATTTTGAAAACTCTTGAACTGTTGGATTTATGATTAAAACAAATAAAAAATAAATAAATAAATAGCAAATAAGACCCAACAAACACTTAGTAGCGCTCTCAAAAGTTAATAACGCTATTCTAAGTAAAACCTCTGAAGTTCTTTTTTAATTAAATGATCTATTTAACCATAAACACTTATTACAAAGTAAAATGTTTTTAAATATAAAAATTCTAGTACATCATCATTAAATATGTTAGTGTAATATACATGCTATTCAATTAAAGTTCAACAATAAATCATTATACATGGTTATAAATAGAGACGGTATATCTGTATTTACTAACAATTAAAATTCGAACGCTTAAAAAATTAATATTATTATATTGAAAATTATAAATTTTTATAAATTACAATAATATATTTGTATATTAGTACATCAAATTTAGATAAATTTGTCTTTACTATCAAGTTCAGTATAAATATTATCTTATTTATATTAGTTATTTGTTCCTAATTTTCTTATTAAAATAAACTATTATTAACAACATGAATTTTATTCTGAATTAGAGACAAATCATCGCCTATTACGTTTTATTATGATTCTCCAGAAAGCGCAGAGCAGAACATTCCCACGTGGATCAATCATCGACATTTCCATAAAACATACAACTCGGATAATTATATTTTGAAAAATAACCAAGTAATATTATATTTAAAGTAATTTTGCATTTCTAATGTAAAACATAATTCATTGGTTTATTCATTTAGTTAAAAGTTCGGCATAGAGAATGCACCAAACTTCTGAATACATTTTTGGATATCAATGCTGGCGTTTCCGTGAAAAATGTACTCAAATCGTCATTTGATCTAAAACAATTGAAAGTAAATACTATTTTACTGTTAATACTGTTTATAGAAGATAGATATTAGTGCAATAGTATGTATTATATATTTTTACATATTTGTCATTTATATGCAATTAGAGCAAGATTGATGTTAACAAAATAATAACATCTGGATATTCATTTGGTGGCGCAACTGCGATGTATAATGCATGTCATGACTGTCGTTATAAGTAAGTGTATTACTAGTTTATTTTAATAAATAATATTGTATAGAATAAAGATATAAATTATTACACAATGTAGATTTTTAGACAATTGTGTTTATTTATCTACATTATTATGATAATAATTTATATTTATTATCTTAATCTTTAACTATTAAATTTAAGACGTAAATATTACTGTGGTTTAAAAAAAATATTATAAATCTAAAAACATGTACTTTGTAAGTACTATTATAAAATAAAATTTGAAAAAAAAAACATTATATTTTGGTACTAAAATATATTAATTTATAAATTAAGTTTTAAAACATTTTTACATTTTATTATAAATTACAGTATAAACTATAGTAATTCAAATAAATAACGATATAGAAATATTTCTAATAATAAAAATGCTTTATTTTTTAAAACTATAATAACATTAAACATTTTAAAATCTTAAATATTAAACGAAACTATTCAACGCATGATGGATTTGCCCATAATCAAAAATACTGTTAAAGATCAGGTTTTAAGAATAATTGCAGAAAATATTCCAAATAACAGATTTAAAATTTTGTAATTTACTCTCTATTTACCTTGACGATAACACAGACATTCTTAGTTCAACTCGATTGTCTATATTTATTAAATGTTTTGTTAGTAATTAAATTAAGGAAAAATAGGTTAAATTAGTATATTGCGAGAAACAACAAAAGAAGATTTGCAATGCAGTTGTAGATACTCCTTTTGAGACAGATGAAAATTTTTCAAAGACCGTTTCTGTTTCTACTAATAGTGCACCTAGTATGACTGGCAAAGAATCAAAGTTTATAAATGAATTTACAAAACATATAAGACCTCCACTACTAGGTTTTCACTGTATTATAATCCAAGAAGCTTAATGAGCAAAAAATACTTTTCAATAATTTGAAGCAATAAAAAAACTCGTGACTAAAATAGTTAATTTCATTACTTCAGGTGGCTTAAATATAAATTTGAATATCTTTTAAAAGAATTAAATTCAATGTACAGAGGTTTAGTTATGTATAACAGTGTTCGTTTGCTTAGTCGAAACAAAGTTCTACAACGGTTTATTGAATGCTTCAATGAAATTAAAATATTATTGGACGAGCAAAATCAAACATTGGTACAAAAAGTTATCTGACTTGCAATAGATGACCAGATTGATGATGTTCTTTGCAGATTTTACGTAGCATTTAAATTAATTGAATATTAAACACTATAAAATAATTTAAAATAATCATTGGCACGTTCGATATAATCCAAACTTTTCAGGTAAAATTAAAAATATTTAATCGTAATTTATGAAACACTACAATCCGTAGTGATTATTGTCCTGTGACATAAAAAGGCGTAATCCTATGTTATCACGTCTTGTTGTATTACTTTGAAGTAAATCCATTTCGTATGCACGGTGGTCGGGACAGCGAGCGTCGCTGGTGCGTCGGCCGGACTAATTAAGTGATCCGACGCGGACGAGAGGCTCGATCGCGATTGACGCAATTATCAGTCCTATCATACAGTATAAGGATTTTAATCGTTGGGTTAGTACAGGCTGTGTGGACGGAGTCGACTACCGGCAGCGCGTGACTATACAGCGGCTACGGCTCGACGAGCCGGACTCGGTGCGACGGTACTTCACAATTGGCCGTAGGGGGGAAACGACGGAACGAAGCCCCGTGGGGGGGGGGGAAACGACGGGACGTGGCGCGTCGACGCTTAAGCACGCGGACTGTCTGCGTCCGGGGTCACGGTTGATTTCGTACCACTGGTACTTCCTCGGCGTGTGCGGGTCTCGTCGGCCCTTCGTTCTCCGCGGATCGAGCGGGCACCGTTGATGTGTGCTAGGTGTCTCGGGCCTCGCGGTTCGCCGTCTGCTCGTTCTTCGGGTCGGTCTTCCCGGTACACTGAATATCAGCGCTGGTGCCAGTGTTGCTTGCTCAGAGTCGTCGATCGGATAGGTAGCTGGTCTCGTTGGTCGGCAGGTCTTCGATTCTTCTGTTCTTCAATGTTGTATTGAAGTGTTGAAGATAGAAAAAAGACTGAATAATTATTGAATGACAAAAAAGGCCGGTATAAATACTGTAATCCGTACCGCCTATAGTAAAATAGTAAACAACGAGTACGCCACCGTACGTGCTTGTGCTTACTGTCAGTGCGGATTTTGTTACTGTGGTGTCACTTTTGTACTTATGGCTATGGGGAGGGTGTTGCTATCTTCGCTCTGACCTTCCCTATCCATAGCCGTACTTTACTAGTATGTGTAATGGTCGGATGAACTTAAAACTCGCTTATACACCCTTAAAATTGTCGTTTTCTAATGTCCCGTGTTGTGATAGGTGATTTGTTCCGTGACATTTAATAAACAAAATTTTCAAGTATTTTCAACGCTTTAGTAAATATATTATAAAAATAGACATTTTTTAAAAACCTGATATTAATCAACTTGCTCAAGAATTTTCAATTATTATAGATACAACTAATCATAAGTTCTCTACACGCTTTACTCAGTTTAAAGAATTTGAACTAAAATAGAACATGAAATAAATTATTTTTCCAGACACCTTGTCATTAAAAAAATCTTATATATTTTTATAATTTAATGAAAAGAAAGAAACAAAAAACAAAAATCGTGCAATTTCTGGCACGTCATGCGTTAGACGTATAACGCTTAATAATTAGTAATAATTAGCAGAAGAGAAATGTAATGTTTGAGTTATAAATGAATGTTAATTAATAAAGTTAGTAGTTATCTACCTACAATATTACAACTCTCGTAACATTTACTATTTAGTAAGAAGTATTCGTTTAATTTAGATAATTTTACAAATTAAAATTAATGTTATAATTTAAATTAAACTATTAATAGTTGTTAAGCTAAACCCATAACTAAGTATGTACTTAAACAAATTCGTTTATTAATCGTGATTCTAGTATTTAAAATACAAATATAAATTTTTTTTTTTTTTTAAATAGAGTTGCTATAATTCTCGATGGTTGGATGTTTCCGTTAAAATCAGAACCACTTTTGAACATTCAACAACCAATATTATTTGTCAACACACACACATTCCACTTTCCAGCCAATATAAGATTTATTCGCCAGTATTTCCATACCAAAGGTATTCGAAAACTATACACAATGAAAAAAACTACTCACGAAAGTCCTTCTGATACAGCTTTCATACATGGCCACTGGTTAGACTTGCAAATGCTGAAGAAGTTAGATGCTAAAACGGCATTAAATTTGCAGAGTAGTCTGGCGATACAATTTTTAAACAACACAATCGGTGCGTATCCCATACTCAAAGTTATTTAAAAATAGGTATTGTTTTTTTAATTTAATTAGCTTACATTTGTTTTTTACAGGTTACCCGATAAATTCTGACAAAGCTCAAATATTTATAAAAGAAAATTCTGATAACTTAGTAGAAGACCTAATTAGTTACACAAAAAAACCTAAACAAAATATCGGTATTTACCCTTGGTAAACACAGCAAATATGTAGAAAAAACTTGAAAAATAACTACATACCTAGTTTCTTTTTTAGCACATTTTTAACTAATTTTTGAAATGTAATGAATAATGTATTTATTTTTTATTGTATATAATTTAAATTTGATTTTGAGATAATATTTAAATAATATACTACTTAAATTTAAATTGTTTAAAAACTTTTAAATTAATATCTTAATATTGTAAATATTAGCTAATAATTTTTGAAAATTTCATATATGTATGTAAAATAGTTAATACTGTGGATAATACATCATTACAGCGTATGTATTGTATAGCATTTAATAAATTTTTAAATAAATCAATACTAATTTTTTAATTACGTCTATTATCACTATTATATACTATTTTAGCTAATATCTTAGTTTTATTTATAGCATAGAACAAACTACAGAGTATAAATCAATGTATTATCTTTTGTTAACATTTTTTTTAACATGTAATACTCCCAAGTATATATCCTGATTGTTTAAATTTGAAAAAAAAATTTAAAACATAAAAAATGGCAAAAAAATAATAATTGAAATTTATGAATTTTAATAGTTTAACTAAGGGGCTTCTTTCATTTTCGACAAATTTTTCAAATTTACTAAAATTACAATCAACTAAATTATAGTCACTTCAAAATAATTCTTCATCAAAACAGTTTTTATTTAAAAACAAAATAATATTAATGAAGTTGCTAATAATGCTAGTTTGTGTATTTCACATCTATAGGCAAAAAGAGGAAAAGTATTTACTGATAATAACTATTTTACTCATTTATTTTCTCGCCATAAATATAATAAAGGATCTTTAACTCAATTTAAAATTAAATACACAAAAAAAAAATTATTTCTGAACTTAAAATCCAATTTTAATGTATATTTTGAAGAAATAAATATTTTTTTCAAAATCTGATTAGATGTAATATTGAGAATTTGCTATCTAACTTTCAAATAAAAGCGATTGACTTGCAATGTAGTGATGCACTGAAATACTTAATTTGAATTATATAAATTTCTTTTTGATACACAATATTCAAATTAAAAAAAAAAAATTCAATTGAAGATATATTCATATATATATAATATATATATATCTGTGTATGTTACAACTCATTTATGCAAACAAACTTTTTCTAAAATAAAAATATATCAAATTAAAACATAAATTAGCTATGTCCAACAAATATTTAGAGTCAATTTTGAAAATTAGAACGAATAACATACAACCTTAATTCAATAAAATATTACCAAAACAACATGAATTTAATATTTCTCATTAATAAAAATTTTACAATTTATAAATTATTATTAAAATTAATACTAAATAATTTAAGTATATTCGAAAAATTATTTAATTAAGTATATTTTTTTATAAAATTAATTATTATAATAGGTATGTGTTTATACACTTTTGGCTTGCAAACATTATGAATGATCACGTCTTATAAATTATAGTACACACACTTCACGATATGCATTATTACTTTAAGAATATTGTCTATATTTAACTCCTAAAAAATGGTTAATATCAAATCCTTTTAAAATCATAATTGAATGCAAATCGTAAATAATTTTTACTAACTTTGATTGCATTATATTGACTTACTATCGTATTGTAATGTACAATAAAAATACAAAACTTACTTTTAACTATTATTAATTTCAAAAAATGATTTATTATTAGAAAATACACCGTAAGGTGTAAGTACTTATTACTTCAATTATTATTTAACCTAACCTAACCTATTTGATAAATTACAATGCATCATATCCCCACTAAAAACTATCCGTGAAGTTAAATTTTATGTAACGTGTACCTACCAAAACCTGTTCATCTGCCAGTTTCGGTAATATTAAACTTCATACATGCAAGAATAGGCTAACTCTACAGTAATTTAAAAATTAATCATCATTCTTATAGCCACATAAATACATTAGCGATAGACAAAGAACAATCAAAAAAGCTTCACATACCTTTTCCAACAGGTACGAATTTTTTATTGAAGATAATTTATATTTTGCTTATAATATTGATAACCATTTGTTGAAAATAATTCAAAAAAAGTATTACCAATATATAGACTTTATACTAGATAAAAAATAATTTTATTATCATAGTTATCATACCTATTACTTATTATGTTATTTTAACTACATTGATAGGATATGATATAAATTGTTATAGATTCATTTAATATATATTAAGTTGTAATATTATAGTTAACCTTAACATAAAACGCTATCAGTTGAATGTCGCAATCGTGGATATTATTCGTTACGTTTTCTGCTATTAATTAAATCCTCGATATTGCTTTATTGCTTTACGTTTTTGTTTATTTTAAATGTCACTTTTAAACTACACGGCTTTTCTTACCCACTTTGCAAAATAAAATGTTTTGTTAAAATGTGATATTTGTTCAGAAGCCATTTACGATAAATGTTCGAGACTTAAAGCCATGGAAATTAAATGTCTTACGATGAAAAATAAATCGTTAAGATATTTTTGTTCGGCAAATGATTAAGGTTTAACGGGATTTCCTGACTATAAATTAATAATTAAGAAATAACCTGTAGAATTTAAGAGGCTCAAAAATTACCATTTTAACGTACTAACGTACTAGCTGTAACGAATTTATAATAATAAAATGAATGGCCATAATGAACGTGCAGACCTATGATTTATGTAACCAAGAGTAATTTTAACCAATCCGATATTCGTAATACTCATGCTCCCGACCGCAATCAGGTAAATATAAATATCATTCGGTATCTAATAAGTAATAAAGCGATAATAGTATAAATCAAGGTTTTTCGTATCTATAGGTCGTTAACAAAAAAAAAAAAACCCCAAGGCTCTTAATAATTACATTATTTCCTGTATCAGAGATATTAAATATAAAAAACAACAAGAAACTCTCATCTCAATACCCATCAATTCCTCTAAACTCAGATCGTACTTAATGTCAAAGAAACCATAAAATTAAGAAACTTCGAAAGGAATTGACATCGAATGGTAAAATTAATTTGGCTATACAATTTTTTTAAGGAGAGTACAAATAATTATGCAAAAATATAGTAGTACCTATAATGTATATAATGTTAAAGCTATTTTAAATGAATACGTTTTTTTATCAAAATGTAAAGGGTTTGATTAGTTTGAAGACCCGTGATTCAGTTATTTCTTTCGATTATAATTTATTATTTTTATCTATAACTAAAATAATAATTTTAGTGATGAAAAATTAGGGCTTATAAATTATAATATTTTTTAAAAGCTAATCGGTGTTTTTTGTAATTATCAAGTTGGCTTATTATGCACAAGATACAGATTGTAAATATTCTATTTTGAGATAAAAGAGCTGATCTAGTATCTAGTATGAATCATGATCCAGGGGTAGTGGAGTTTTATAATTTTTAAATCTTAAATACAGTTGCATTAAAATACCCTGAATACGTATAGAAAATATTATTGATATAGATTATGTTTTTATCTTATTAAATTTTTATATGGTAGCATTTATTTACTTTTAAATACTCATTAAGCTATTTACACTGCATATTATGAATTAATTGAAAATATTATGTCCTCTCTTTCTATTTTAAATATTTGAACCATAAATTTCAATTCATCCAGTTTTATATAATCAATTTATAAACCTTTATCTAATATTACTGATAATTTGGTTACTATAATAGTTTCATTAATTAGCCTGACTCAAGACAATGGAACATCATACATTTTTACCATTTTCAATTTAATATTCTCTGGTAGTCTAATTGTTAATATTCATAAAAATTTGTCACACCTACTTATGAAGTCTACTATAATTCTTTAGTATTCACCTTCGCTTTAACCTCTACTCCAGTTACTCATTAACTACTATCAAGTGCAATTTTAATTAATGTAATTTTGATGATATTTATATAATTATATTGAGACTTGATTTTATCTATAATTTTAAAAATATGAGTTTAGAAGCTATCGTTTCAAAATTCATAATATTTTATGTTAACGTTCCAAATTAAATTAAATTCTTATCACAATAAATTAAAATATTAAGTAGATAACTCCTGTTCTCTGAAATTTTATAAATTCAAAATAACACATTCAAAAAAAAAAAGTTAAATGAGTAATTCTCAAAAAATTATTTCACTTTTTCGGTACTTCATAAAAATTGTGAAGCATTGTCTCTTTAGGTCCATGCTAACTATAACATGTGCGTTACGTCCATTTAGAAATATTAATACTTTTTTTATGCCAGTATTAAACACGTAATTAACATGAATTCGTACGACTAATTTTAAAATTTGTATTATTTTTATTTATCCAAAAATGAAAAATTCGTTGTGCGCAGCTGGTGAAACACGCCGTAATTAATTATTTTGTTCAATTCAATCATTTTCAAAATCTGAGTTACCACAAAATCATTTAAACAAATTTTACGCTTGAAATTTGAACTGTCATGAATTAAATATTGATAAATGCAAAATTATTTCATTTGCCTGTTTTAAAAAACAAATTACATTCGATTATAAATTTAATAATAACAAATTAATAATAATATGGTAATATACCTATCAATAATTAAACGTTTAGGAATACATTTTGAATTTGGTCTATAGTATTCAAGTTTCACCATAAAACAATTTTGAATAAGTCTAAAAAATATTAAGTTTTATTAATACTCAAGATTTTAACATACCTCAATCTTAAAAACTTTATAGTGCTTAACTTTTGCGATCATCCTTGTATTTAGGATGAATAATTTGGTTTCAAAACTTATCTACGTATTTAAATTACTTTTAGTTAATACAGTATACATTTTCAAAAAGGATTGCTTATGTTAAAAATACACCTTTATCTAGTAATTTCTTTAAATATATCCATTAATTAATAGATTTCTTAAAAATACAACCTTCTGATATTTTATTTATATAAATATAAATATAATATAATCTGTATGTATTAAATGATTAAATTGAACTTGTTTTAATATAAATCCAAGTTCTCTCATACTTTCCCAGATCCAATGATCTTTTTATATCTGTAATACATTTAAGTTTAATTTTATATTAATATAAAGAAGATCATTAATGTATGAATAATACATATATTAATATATTAAGTTTAAATTACTCTTATATTTAAAATATTCTAAATCTAAGTTTCAGTATTTATACTTTGTTAATTAATCTATAATCTTTGTTGAGTTTACTCTAATCTTGGTAGTTACTCTCAATTGTATTTATAATAATATGTTCAAAGAACTTCCGCCAATTGAATTTATTAGTTAATAAACAATTTACGATATTCTAGGTCCACACGCAACAGGCAATATGGAATTTATAACAAAATATTCCGAAGAAGGATGTTTTGCAAGAGTATTTTACTCGACTAGTATTGCATCTGATCAGTTGGACGTAAGTATAAAAGTTTCGTTGATTATAAATACTATATTATCATATCATTCATATCATACATCCAATATATAGTGCAACCTTTACAACTGCATTAGATATTTACTAAATATAACAATATATTTAGGTATAATTTTTTTTTTTTTTTTTAATTTATTTTTACTGCAAATGAATCACACAAATTAAAATTAGAATAACCAATAATCGATGTCTGTTTATTTGTGGAACGGAAAATGAAGTATAAGTTTTAATTTCTTACGTTCAACACTTTTATTATATTTATAATGATATATTAAATCATTTTTATTTTTTATTTATATTACAAAAGTTTTTATATTGTGTTTGAAATAAGTATAAATAATAATAGAAAAAAATATTATAAACATAAAGCACACTTAATTTTTGTATAAACTAAAATAACACATTTGATTAAGTATGCTTACCTATTATAAATCATTTAAGAGTATAAAATTTGGTATCGTAAATCGTTAATTCGATACTGACTGTTATTTATCGTGGTCTAAAATACCCGTAACGACAAACATCGATTTTATCATATATTAATATCTTTATCACCTTATTGGTAAACCAAAAAATGTATATTATAAGGGCTATCTTTAATTCTATTAAATCGTCTATAACAATAAGGAAAACAACGTCAAATCTCAAAAACATATCGATTTTTTTTTAATATATTGTAGTGAATATATCAAATAGTAAGTGATTTAAATAAATAAAACTAGATAAATCTAAATTAAGTACAATTATTTTTTAATATAATATTGTTATTGTAAACTATTATTTAATAACAACAAAATGTACCAATCTAATTTAGTCATAAAAATTAAACCAACTCATATTTTTAATACCTACCTCTATATTATTATATTGAACAAAACATGGGCAAAGATTAGAGAAACAATGAATAAAGCCGCAGAAAACTTACAAGTCTTGTGATCGAAGAAAATTAATAAGTGATTCAATACATTTCATGAAACAGTCAGGAAGCATAACTTATTCAGAATTAACGTATTACAAAACACCAAACAAGAGAACATACAAGCATATCAAAAATCAAGATCTCAAGCAAGTAAAATATTAAGACAGAATAAAAAATTAGCGTAAAATAAATTTACCGAGGATATTGAAATATTCAAAAGAAATCCTAGATTATTCTTTAAAACGTGCAAGTCTAAAGAAAGGCTGCCAAACAACAGCATCAATAATGAAGGACGACCAAAGAAACTTTATAATAAATACCAAGAAAGTTGTCATACACTTCGTGGAATTTTTTAAGAAAACTTTGAACAATATGTAAAATAATAACACATCCTACGAAAAAAAATAACCTAACATATGGCAGAGCCAGAAATCACAAAACCTCTATTAGATGAAATTAAAACAATAATTATTATCCTAAAAAATAATAAAACACTTGGAGAGAACAACATAAATTTGGAGTTAATAATACTAGCTGGCAAACAGTTAACAACGAAATACACTAGTATTTCGAACAGGTTAAAGATTTTAAGTATCGGGGGGGGGGGGGTTAATATCAACCATAAAAATTATATGCATAATGAGATCAAACTAAGAATAAATGCGCGAATCGAGCATTTTCTCATTGAACGAGTTGTTAAGTTCAAGAATTTTATCATGAGTGATAAAGAAAAAAATGTACGTAACCTAATAGTAACATATACCTGTGAAACATAATCGATGACTCAAAGGGATGAGGAGAAACTTCTTATTTTCGAAAAGAAAGTATTGAGAAAAATTTACGAACCTGTCAAAAACGAATTGACTGAGAACTATGAAAGCATAAAAAATACCAACTTGGAATTTATTTACTACAAACCAAATATCAAATGTTTTTTGAAAGCCAAGCGTTTAGAATAGGTGGGTCATGTACGACATGAGGAAGAAAACATAATTCGGAAGATACTGATTAATAATCCAACTGGCAAGTCCCCTCTCCAAGGGAAGACCTCGACAACGATAACAAGATAAGGTCAATACAGATATAAGAATTAGATGTAGACTGAACAGCAAACATCAAGTCCGCTACTGATCATGACGTGTAGAGGGGATGAATAAAAACTGCAAAAAGCCTTAATATCCCATAAAGCAAAAAAAAAAATTTATAAAAGTTCACTTAAAGTTTATTAGATAAGTACCTACACTATTAATGTGTTCATTGAAAAACATAATTATAATAATTATTCTTAATTAATAGGTAGGTATAATAGGTTATTACTGCGTATCTTATTAGTTATTCGAGTGTATAAAATTTACTTATCTATTTATAACAGTAGTTCTCAACCGGGGTGACATGGACCTAGCTTAGAGGTGACGCAGAATTTTGATAAGAAAAGAAAAAAAATTTAAAAAATTAATTTTTTCGAAAACAATCATATTATTTCTTATAATAAATATATTATACACCTATACCACCACTGTCGTGTACATAACATACCTCAAAGTTCGTATCTTTATAATATTTTGTATTATTTATATTTAATCTTTTGATCCGAAAAACACGTGTACTTAGTGATTTGTCGTGCGATAACGCTGCGATACACAGCTAAAATTGTTTATTATTTTGATGTTAGGGTGACGCAGCGTTTGATTCTAGTGACTAAAGGTAACATGAATTAAAAAAGGTTGAGAACTACAGATTTATAATGAGGTAATTTTCATTTATATACAATAAATTATGTATAATTTTGGCTAATTTTCTCTAACACTAATAATAATAGTATGCAATACAAATGAGTACTTATTCTAAATATAAATTACTCGTAATTTGCTATATTGTTATGCATAATACTATGAAGTCAACGCATAAAGGTACTAGGTCATCATAACTGAAATTACATATTTTAAATTTTAAGTTAATCACAAATCAAAATTTAATGTGAGTATAATATTATAACACCTATTTTATGCATATATATGATTATTATTACAGAAATACTCAGATAAATGGATTCCGTGGATTCCAAATGAAATGTATTTGAAAAAATTTTCCAATGCTCTTCATGTACCTTATTTCATATTCAAATATTTTCCACCACTCATGGGTCAAGGTAAGGTTTAAAATTTATGATATTATTCGCGTGTTAAATTATAATTTATTAATGATCAATTACTTTTTTTTTTATGTAATTCAAAGAGCATTAACAATAGAAACATTAAGAAATACTTCATATTTAAGATTTATTTCTAATAGATGATAAAATGTATCTTATTATTAATGCTTTCAAAACAAAACAAAAAATCCCAGTAGGTAGGTACTTTTTTAAATAATTTAGATACACAACTAACAACACTAGTATAACATCGTTGTTGAAAGTGATTAATTTTATATTCGAGTTCGATTAATCGTCAAATTTAAGGCGTAAACGAGATTGAATTAGGCATACTATTCATGAACTTTATTTTTAACTGAGACACATTTTACAAACTTAACGATATTTTTATCAATGAAACACGATATCGTACATGTGAGTATCTAAGTACCTAACTGGCACTTTCTATTCCCTCGATACGCAGCGACACGGTCAATAAAATTACTAATCACGTTTTCACAGACTGGCCCATACAGTTCATTTATAAACAAGTAATTTGATTAAGCTCCAAAAGAAGGTTATAAAGAAAAAATGCAATTTTTTTCTATTCGCAATTTTCATAGATACAAATATTTTTATATTTTATAATTTGTACTAAATATTTATTAATAACGAGAAATTAGGGTCAACTAGGGATTTGAAAAACACAATACAATAAATAATATCTAGCAAAAACCTTCAAAATATTTATTTTTTATTGTCAAATTTTCAAACATATCATTAATCACTGGATATGCTTCAAAAATGATAAAATTAAAAAATAAGCTCTTAAAGAAACAAAATCACTAAATATGCAAAAATGTGCACTATAAATTTTTAATATTTTTATCTTTTTTCGTAGTATCCTGAAATTAATTTTAAACTTACTTAGCAATAAATCTAATAGGTAGCCAAAAAAAATATAATATGTAAATACAATAACATCTGAGCCCTAATAATGAATAATATATTAATTATATACTATTTAATTTGAATTAGATTTTGAGATCATATTCAAATAAAATACTATTTAAATTAAAAATTCTTGAAAACTTTTAGTATTAAATCTTAATATTGTGAATAGGTATCAGTTACTAGTTAAAAATAACTTATACATGTATATATAATTTTGAGTAATGTATGTAATACAATATTGTAATGTATTTAGTATGAGGCGGTTAATAGTTTTTTAATCTTCTTATAGGTACTAATTAAATCTTTTAATATTTTTATATGAGTATATTTTAAGTTAATATCTTTAATTTTACTCATGACATAGTTTGGTTAAATTATATCATAAATCAATATATCATCTTGAAAAAAATTTATACTTCCAAGTATACAAATATGTGACTTTTAAATAATTAAAGTAAAATATGAAAAATGGCAAAATTTAATCATTGTATTCATATTACACTTTAATAGTTTAGTCATTTAATGAATAAACATCATACTTTAATTAATGAATTAAAAATTATTGATAAAATAAAAGCAAAAATAATCTTTACAAACATTTGTATTTATCTATTAACAGAAGTAAAATATTTATGACATCGAAGCATTGAAACAAATTCTAATGTGCTTGCTTTCTCCCTTTCTTCATTTTTAGGCTTTCCATTAAAACACAAAATAAAAATTATTTTCAAGTCCACTCTCATTATCATATAAGTAATCTGTAAAAAAAAAGAAAAGAAAAATTACCCTGTTTCAATAAATTATTATTATTTTAGTTTAATTTAATTTATGTTATTAAGTGTAAAATATAGTATAAATAAAAAAAAAAATTCTTATTTTATAAGTTTATTTTTATAATTTAAAAATTGTTTTTTAAATTTTCAGAAAAGTAGGAAACTATTAGTATTGTAATTTTATTTTTATATTTTTTGGTTTAAATTACTCATATTGTAAATTAAATTTAAATTATATTTTGGACACATCCCTTAAATTTTAAAGCAAAATGATTTATAATCATTTAAAATAATAATACAACATTTAATTTATTCTTTTGACCAGGTGATGACACATTCTCCCATCTATCCTATGATTTAGAGTTACATTGAACATTATATTTTATTTGTTAAATAATTATTTATGCATTAATAAAATTATTAATGAACTCAACAACTTACATTTTCATCTGTAATTATTTCAATTTTATTTACTGAGTGTTCTCCTTCATTAATTTTCATCTTTTCTACTACATCAAATTTAACTGGAACCTAAAATTAATACTTAATAACTAATAATTCAATAAGCGAATAAACATATCAATTTTAATACCTTTGGATAACTTATTATAATTTTATACTTAATATATGGATCCATTTTAATAATAGATTGACTTCCATTTGAAGAATCATCATCAGTAGCATATTCAGGTGATTCAAACACTAACATTGCAGATAAAGCCTCTGCCTTCTGCTTTAATTGTTGCATCCTTTAAGTATAAAAACAATCAATAATTCTACATATTTTTTCTTTACCATTATTTAAACTATAGTTTAATTATGAATAATAAAAATAAATAATTTTAAATTGTAGGTACCTACTTTGTGAAAAAATGTAAATTTTTGGTTTCACTTGTATTTTTTACTTCACGCAATGATGATTGTCGTACAAGTATTCCGTAAAAATATAACATAAATTTAGAAATTGTCATGTGTTTGAATCTTTTAAACCATAAAAGCAATGGAGGTAAAATACTTTTGCTCATAAACAACGAGCCAAATCTCCAAGACTAAAATCAAAATGAAAAGTCAAGGCACATAAACTATGAATTCTGCTATATATTTAATTATGAGAATATGTTAAATTCTTTAATAACAAAATAAATATACATAAAAATTTCAATTTTTTAAGTTCAAACTTATGATGTATACTATAAATCAGTGGACAATGGTCAGTAATTAATTAGTAGACTACAGAATACTTTTTATAATTAAGAGGACACCTAACTCTAAGATAACTCTTAAAACTCAACCTAACTTGAATATAGGCATGCACACAAACTTCACAGAGTATACCAAAATAAACCTAAAGGTCCTTCTATCTAAATAATGATAAAAAGTGTAATAATAAAAACACAATTTATATTTTATTGTCATTGGTGTATCATTTGTATGAATATTTTTTATGATAAAATATTAATTGACTATTAAATTTAAGTTAACGTTTTATCAGCATGAAATATTAAAACCAATTTAATTCATAAATTGAACTTGTTCAATATCTATTTACAAGAATATTTTTTGAAAACAAAATTTTGATTTTATAAATATTGAAAAATCTACACAATTAGTCAACTTAACATATTTGAAGAAAATTGAAAATGTATTTTTGTTATACACAACCATGTCCAAAAAAATACATATTAAATACTTTTTATTTGTCAAAAATTACTATATAATATAGATAGATATATTTTAAATTGTACTTATCTATACTAAGTTCACAATACTTTTTGGTAAGTGGCAAAGCTATATATCCTTATCGGATACATCTTGTTTATACATCCCCAATGAAATTAATTTAGTCAGTCTGATTTTAACTTTCACACCCCAAATTGTCAACCACCATATCAATATTTAACTAAAATATTTTTTATAATTTACTCATCCATCCTATTTTGACTTTTAAATACTATTGTTAATTTGAAATAACTCTGCATAGCATTTAAACTTTGCTATTTCAAAACACTAAGAATACTAAAATTATATTTTTCACAAGTGAATGTCATGATAATTGTCTATTTCTATACTTTCTAATAAGGCATTATGCTACCATTTTGTTACATTAAGATTTCATTATAGGTAGTGTATCCTACCTTGGTAATATTTAATTTTCCTTCAAAGATATATAAATGAGTCTTCCCTGCATACCCTTAAGTACACATATACAACATTTATATTATTTTTGATTACTATAAAATTATTACCTCTTTGTTTTGATAACATTTTTCCCACAAGATAAATGCATCACTACTTTCCTTTAAGCTAATCAACGAATCAAAATATGACCATTCGCCTAAATGTTCATGACACTTGAATAAACATTGAATACAATCCAGTTCATAACTGTAAAAATATATTTTGTTTATAGATTAAGTAGGTATTCAAAAAATATTAAAACAATATTTGTAATTAATATTTCTAACGTAGTTTATAAAATATAATATATTTATATTATAGGTAACTGTTATTCATATTTTAGACTTTAGACAATAGAGATAAGTTGTTACTATTACCATATTATAAATATAATAAATGTCAAATTCTCTGTACATGTTAAGCAAGCTTAAAAATAAAACTATATGAAATAAAAATGCAAAAGTTATTTTATCATCAATAATACATTACTATTTTAAAAAAATCACATGATGACAAAAATGTCATCTATTTATGTTATACTTATTTATGTTTACTGTTTATAATAATTTTACTGTAATTTCTACTGATAGAGCATGCAATAACTTTGTGTGTAAGCTATACCAATAACGCTTGTTATTGCTTGAAATACTGGCTATTCCAAAAACCTGCTTCAACAGCAGCTATGTTACTAACCACTCAGAGCACGCTCATTCAGTTGTACTTCTTCATTAATTAATTTTTATTATTTATATTGAAATATAATATGACAATGTTTTTTTATATTTTAGTTTATTTTGCTATTTTTAATACTATTTAGTACCATAAATACATTATTTCATATAATAGAAAATTTAATTTATTTATAAACAAAAAAAATGTTGAGATAATTTATTTTGACTAAAATAGAAAATACTATAGAACATTATGATAAATGAGCATGCTCATACTTCTAAGTTAACATTCACCACCAAATAAAATACTTCAAAAATATAAAATGCTTATTAAGCTGATTTTTAAAATTTATAAAATTTATATTATATGAAAACCAAACATATTGATTTACTATCTGCTTATCATTATTTATTTATATTTATAAATTTAACATTAAAATGTTTATTTACCGTACAATTCTTAGTACTTGATCAACAGGTGAAAAATTATTAAGATCATTCTGAATATTTTTAACAGTTTCAGATAGCTCACTAAAATTAATCCAACTGTTCGATGATCCAATTTCATATAATTTATCATATAGTTCAAGAAGTTGGAGTCTAACAGATATAAACTGTAAAAGTGTAGTCATAAATTTTATAACATAGTTATCATCAACCTCAGTCTGGAGTTTTTCAAGGTCTTGATACAAAGTCTTGTACACAAAGTCCAGGTAGTTCTACAATGAAAATAAATAAAAGATTCAATAAGCACAATCATTTTTATAAATTATTATTATTAAAATAGATACCTCATCTTCTTTTCGCTCAAGCATTTTATTTTTTGATGGCTCAAAATTAGTGTCATAATAATTCTTTTCAGCTAAAGCAAAATCACATAGAATATCAAACATTGCTTTGGGCCAAGCATTGTTTAAGAATACTAAACGTTGTCTTTCCTGAAAATAAATTATTGAATAGTTCCTATAATTTACCTAGTGGCTAATATTATATTAAATTACCATAAACTCTTTTGCTTCATCGTAGTTAGATTTTGATAAATAGTTAAAAAATATACGAACAATTTCTTCTTGAGATTTTGGCATGTTTATGTCATTATTATAATATTATAGTAAAGTTTATTACTTCTTACTAGTATAATTTATAGCTATTGAATGAAAAAAAGTTTATAACGTATTACTATTATTAACAAAATACTTAATCAATGTTAATCATAAACGTTGTTTAATACCTAATCAATAATACATAAATATTAAAGAACAATATCATCAATACTTACATTATGATTTATGATAATTATTAGTATTAAGGATCATTAGATTTATTTAATTATTATTTATTTCACATTTAAGTAGGTATCAGTGAATCACAATGTTTTTAAAAATGATTAATGATAATAATATTATTACTATTATAATCTGTACCTATTTCGATGCGTCTGGTAATCATAGAACCGATGTGAAATGTGTATTAATACTGGCGCTACTGCATTAACGAATTCCTACTCTCACTAAAATCATTTATAATTTTATAGCCACTACAGCAAGCAGTAGAAGCTATAGAGAACAATATTTATACAAATCACAATTTATTGAAATTAATAATTAATAACACTTCATGATCGTAGTAACTATATAATATACATATATATTATGTATAGATTAAGATTCCAAACTATAAGAAACTAAAATTTGAGAAAGAATGAAAAAAAAATGTAATGATATCAGATAAGATTTTTTGGCGGTATAAAAATTATATTATGAAATTTTGGTATGATGTAACTAAACAGTTCAAACTTTATTTTTGAAAACGATTTTTAAATTTATTAAATTATTTTGTTAATTTATGAATGTAAACAACAATGACTATTTTTTTGCGTATAAAAATCGATGTACCTATGTGTAATAACTTATTAGATACCTACCTACCTTTAATAACTAATTACATGTATCGTGTTCATATATTATATGTATTAATATAAATTATTATTATAAATAAAAATTATATGTTTATGTGGCAAATTGACCTTTTATATATTATACAAATAATTAAATATCTACCTAATTATTAACTAAATAATATTAAACTTAAAAATATTTTATTTTTTTTCAGAACTAGGTCGAAATAATTAATCACTTTAGTCTACCTCAAAATAAATAAGTATGCAATTATTACTATAAGTATAGGGAAAAAATATTCATAAAAAAAAAATAGTACCTATTAATATAATATTAAAATTGTAATTAACTTTATATAATCCTAATTATAATTATTTAAAAAATCAAAATGAACAAAAAAGTGGCTATAATAACTTAAAATAACCAATGTAAATCATCAAAAAATCGATATATATATAAATCGTATATTTTTTTTAAATTTCAAGTACAGATGGCAAGTATTTATATCTATATAATGTATTACTCACTAACGTAGTGACCTTTGCAAGCACGGATTTAGTAGATATTTAATTAATATTATTTATGCACTAATTTCGTATCTAATTACTTTTTCTTAAAGGCTAAAATTCTAGAAACACGAAATAATTTCTTGAGTTGTTTTATTATGCAATATTTGGTTAGAATGTTCCAAAAACGTTCGTATGCATGGGTACCTATAACGGAATCTAGGTAAAAAAGCCAATGAAAAAAAGCTACGGAAAAAAAAAGACAAATTGTTAAAGTAATGGTAATTAAATATTACAAATTGTGTTGTTCTCATATAATAAATAGGTGATAAACAGGGTTCGAGACTTATTGTCGAATTTACCGACTTATTTAACATTTTGAGAGGTATATCTTAATACTAAAATAATTTAATACAGTTTTTTAAGGTTAACTGGTTAAGTCTAGGTATTTGAATAAAGGTAATAAAAAATATAATTATTAATAAATATTATGAGTAGGGACTGGATTTATATGCAAATGCATATAAATATATGTATTGGAATAAGGTTTTTGAAATCTGATAAGAATTGTTCCCGATTTAGATCATTCTTATTAAAATAACACCAATTATATTTTTCATATTTTGCATACATATTAAATGCATATTAGTAATTTTATATTCTAGTAAATTTTTAATCATTTAATTATATTTAATACTTAATTATTTATCGAATGACGTAACTTGGATATGATAAAAAGAATTAAAAATACTTAATTAGGTACTATTATTTTAACAATTAATAAATAAATAAATAACGATTTGTCTTTTTTTTTCTATTACCCCTATAACGTCGCTATAACTTATATACTTATATAGTATATATATAACTTATATAGTTAATAGCCGTAAATAGATAACACCAGTCTCCGTGCTAGCAAATTACCATGAAAAATAATATTTAAAAATCACCATACTTTAAATTTTCTTTAATTTCCTACAGGCTACAATAGTACCTATGTATATAAAAGTGAAAGAGAAATGTATGCACTCGTTTTATTGAAGATAAAATTATTTTTACATATTCATTGGAAACTTAATTCCTTTTAATTATTTATCACATTTAAATACGAGTTTAAAATCAGAAAAACATACGATCACAATATTATAATATATAATTAATTATTACCAAATTTACGAATGTATAACAAAATGATAACGGTAACATTAGAGCGAAAAACCGTGGGCGACCCTATACGACGGCTGTTCTCATTCTTCGGGTGTTGAGTTGCCGGATGACGCGTTTAAAGCGCTTACAGACTGTCTCCGGTCTCGTCAGAAGTTGACAAGTGAACGTTGGACGGAATATTGCGTTGAACTGCAGATGCGCTGATCGTTCGACGGACTTGTAGGCAGCCGCAAACCCGAAGCGTAAGTGAAGAAGTTCGCAGTCCGCATGCTGAAGAAGACGTGATGCGTGTCATGTGACCTTATATAAGACTAGAGACCAGGGATCCCACGCAAAACTTACACCAGTCACGTTTTTTTCGGCATACGTACTACGGGCTTTTTCGCCTGCGCCTCGGGTTTCCGGCCACCGTGCATCCGATCGAACATACGGTGCGGATCCTGATCCTCGTCGACGATCAACGTGTCGTCCAACAGCATGGCCACCAACGTCCGTCGATCCACTGCCGACGAGGCGGTCAGCAAGCCTTCCAGATATCGTTGCATGTCGTCCGGCAACGATCCGTCGACCTTCGTCGCGAGCACGTCCGCCCTCGCTGGCAGCTGGTCCGAGATTCCCAGATCGTATGGTCGGGCGACCGCTAACACAGATCTCACGAATACTTCGATTTCTTCAAGTTCTTCGACCGACATCCCGGCAGAACACTGGACCGCACACCAAGAAATGCAACAGGTCAACGTCACGATGACCAACGGAAACGACGACGGTTTAAGGCAGTTCATCATAATATAATATTATATAGTATGCTTGTTATGTCTTAGTTCCGGAGCGTACCTACCCAACACACAGGCGATGAGCTGAAAATGTGTCTGTGCCGTTTATTGTACAAGATCAATACTAGGTAAGTATGTGATAAAAAAGTCTCGGAACTATAATTTATTTGCGTAGGTCGTACGTCAAATAACGAACTAGGCGACCCGTTGTTTAGGAGGTATATTTTGATATGTAAAAATAAACATTAGAAAAACTCTAAAAACACAATATCTGTACGTGCGTATCGCACAGCAACAAAATATATTATCCGACGAAACGTATAGTATGACTTAACACAGTCTGTGTAGATTAAATACAAGTAAAAACACTAATTCGTGTTTTCGGCGCTAAGGTTAAAACGATTTAAACATAACATAATTTGACGAATATATATAACATCGCGAACTAATCTCAGTCTGTCGAACACAACAATGTTATTATTATATGATATTTCATTGCTGTTCATTTTTTATTCTCACGAAAACATCGCGTAATTCGCCAGCATGCTAACAAGTTGTATAAATTATTATATTACCTATTAAAATATACTATATCCACTACCTACCAAACTCGTGCGAGGACGGCCGAGGAGGGAAACAAAAATGATGTTCCTATTATCAAATTTGAAATTTCTTGATCCGGAATTAAACGGTTTATTACATAATACGAGTTCGAACTATTTAAAACACAAGCCCACATTATATTATTAATGTTATTATATTTTATGTGTTTACGAATCGAGATTTTCTGTGGAATATGCAACGCACACACAATACACATACCATTATACCGATTATCGACACACGATTTACAATCGTCAATCAGTCTGCACTCAGCACGTTTGCAGTTTGCATTCATACCATGAATTAATATATTAATAATTGTGATTGTGGTATATTTCTCGTTTGAATCACAAAAACAATAACTATGTTCAAATGTACAATTCACAACTAACTGCATTTAGCGGACTTCTTTCACAAACATGAATTACCACATGTCCACATGGCACATCAAATTATATAGGTAGCATTTATACAATTATACCTAAGTCCTACTGCTCTAGATTATCTAAATAACCTACTGGGATCCATAATATGACCTGTGATTATTTAACTATTAACTACCTAATATTGTGCTATGATGATACCAAATTTATAGGTTTCTAGCCTGTGATATAAGTCATAACCTTTTAAATATTAACTTCCTATTCTATTATAGAAATATAGAATATAATATGTTATCAAATGTATAGATTTAATCTATTAACCTCTAGGTGACTAGAACAATAATATAATATTAGGAATTTAGGACTCTGGTTTCAAGTTTGTTAGCTGTTAGTTTTTTTTAATTTTGTATGATAAGTTTTGTTTTCGCATAAAAAAACTTGAAAGTTTAGAATTATGTTCCTCATAAGTTTTTCATATCTTAATTTATTAAAAATATGAAAACGTACTCGCAATATTTATCCATAAAGTTTAAAGATACAATTTTTACGAATTATTATTTAATATTTATTGGAATAAATGGTTAATTGGAAAATTTTATTTTTGGAACAAATCCTTATTCTAAAATTGTTACTTCTATATATTTTGTTTCAATAATTTTTTTTTTAACAGACTGTTCTGATACATATTGTTAAGATCCGATGAAAATGTATAGATTATAAATTAAAAAACTTTGTTCCCATGTAGTATGTATTACTGTTCGAATTACATTTGTTGAATTTGTTCTAAAAACTATTTGTAATAAAGATTTTTTGGAACAAATGTTTATTGGAATAAATAATTGTGGAACATGAAATACAACTCCATTTTATACCATAAGTTATACCACAGACGTCTAGTGTGCGTTCTCAACGCACCCGGGCCGAACCCGTGAGGTGTGACCAACGTCTAACAGTGCCGGCACAACAGGGCAGAATATGTGACGCTATGCCGTCACAGGTATATGATGTGAACAAATCCGTTAAAATTGAAATCGAAGAATAGATATTAGATACATTTAATAATTTATCCAAAAAAGTGAATAAGTATAGTGATTAGTGAATAGTGATAACTACTAAAGAACAGGTTGTTTTTATTAAAATCTAGTTTATATTAAAACTTTAAAGTTCTTTTAAACATTTTTTAATCTTTGAATATAAAATAATATCCATATTATGATGTACTGATGACTAGTTAATTTTAATTGAAGTACTTAAATGTAATTTTTAATTTAATTCACAACTTGTTAGTGTATATAAATATAAACATGTATAAGTATTTATTTTATTGTACATTATAGTGATAATTATGTTTCATATTTTGTAAATTAATAAGAAATTGAAAAATATTGAGTTTTTTAATTTTCTATAAGCTTCAAAATGTCAGCGTAAGAATATTTAATTATATTAATTTAATATCTACATTGCAATATATCCATTGTATCCTACAAATTATATTTTATTTGTATCGGAGTAAAATTGTGTTTATTATTAGAGAGGAGTGGTCCAGTAATGGTGGTTTAATAGTTGGTACAGAAGATTATAAAGATAAATCTAGTAATTTTGATGAATACTCAGATTTTTCTTATGATCACTCAAATGGCATGGATTGGCATTTTCCTGTAATTGTTGATTTGTATCAAGATAGCCAATGGTTATTGTTTGAAAACAATTTTTCTTTAAATGAATTATCTGTTTCGGAGATTTGTTATTTGTTTAAAAACAAAGTTTTATGTGAATTTCAAACAGAAATATTTTTACAGCATCCATCTATTATTCAGGTAACTTATATTTAAGTTTATTTATTTCTCAGCATTAATTTAAAATCAAAATTTTAGAAATTAATTAAATGGCTGAATGAAAACAAAGAAAAAGACTTGATTCTGGAATGTCTAAATTATTTGGTAGAAAAATTAATAAGAAGACACCATGAATGTACAATTGGTTTGTTTGTAAGTTTGTTTTTCAATAAGTTAAAACAGTTTTTGTGCACAAACAAATATAAATTTATTAAATACAATTTAACTATATGAAATAACTTATAAATGTTATTAATTATGTTTGTAGATCTTAATAGGTCTTATGTGCATAAATATTTGGTTCTAATAACAACTTAAATTATTTGAATACCTATATTCTTTTAAAAAATTTATTTTATTTTTTAGGAAAATAATGAAAGTAATAATTATAACTACGGTTCTATTTCTCAAATATCCACGAGAGAAATTTATAGTGAATCTTCAACTGATGTTAGTATTTTTTCATTTTTAATTACATTATAATTGTATGATTGTTATGGGCTTTTTTTTTTCTTATAATATTTTCTTGATCATGCCACATTTTTTTAGGAAAAAATTTCAAGCTGGGGTATTGGAAAATTTTGTGTCACATTGATGCCTGTCCTTTTGAAACATATTAGTTTTAATAGTGATGGAGCTTTCTCTTTGTTTATGTCCAACATGCATCTTTTATCATGTATACCTGACAATTGTAACATTAATTTTTACATAGAATTAGTGTTTTCTGATTATACAATCAAAAATATAGTCTTGTAAGTATTAATAATATTAAAATATGTATCAACAAATTAAAAAAAAAAAAGAATTATATTTAATTTTATATTTACTACACTTATTTTTAGGAATGAACCTCTGGCTTCATGTAAGTTTTTAATTATTACCAAGGAAATACTAAAATATGGTTCATTTAATAATCAATTTAAAGTACTAATTTGTAACATACTTAAACAACCATATTGGATTCATCTTTATCCCGAATTGTACTACCAACTGTATGAAAAAGTTATAGATGTAAGTTATTATTATAACACTTAACAGATTATTTTTTAATAAAATCTAACCATATTTATTATGTATATTAAATTTATACTTTTTATTTTAGGAAGAATTATTAGAACAAAAAATTATGAAAAGGGTTAATGACGCTTATATTCTATCATCCACAAGCAACTTGAATATTAAACAATATGCACAATTATTTAGAAGTTCATTACCAGTTATATGTTTCCATAAACAATTCACTATAATTGATAAATTTATTACAAATACGTGTAAATATGGGTAAGTGTTATTATACTAAATATATATTTTAAATGATTGGTAATCATGGAAATTTAGAGATGTCTAGGTGATAGATTAATAGCCAATCAAATTAAGTTTAACTAGTATAAAGTATTTTACTATTTACAACAACGGGTAGTTAAAAATATGACACCAAATGACGTATTTTTGGGTGAATGGAATGTTAGAGAATATTTCATGATAATAATTTAATAGAAGAATATTTTTATATTGAGAAATCATTATTTTACAATGACTTTGTATTCAATGCTTTTAAAATTTGAACTTTAATTGCTTGTAAAAAAAAGTCCTATGTTTATGTTATTTTTTTTTAATTTTAAACAAAAAATTGTATAAATAATAAATTTAATTTTTAAGTCTTAGATGTTAGGGATACAAAAGTTCAATTACAATTACATACAATTTTATATTCTTGTAATTTTGATGAATTTCTGAACATTGTTAAAAATATTTGATAAAAATTATGAATTAAAAAAATATAGGTTTTGTATGAAAAATTCCTGTTTTTTCAATTATTTTGAATCTCCAAATTACCTACTAGATACATTTTGCTATTAAAAACCTCCCTGAATTAAAACTTGAAGCATTTAAACTGCTCAAAAAGACAGACCAAACTAAAATAAAAAATACACATAATAAAACTAATGTATACATAGCATACTAAAGACTCTAAAATTAGCAAAACTTTATCTATTCTATGTATTTTTACTTAATTTTGGAACTAAAATCAATTCATTTGTATACAGAATATTTTATTGTTTGTTTGTTTGTTTGTTTTTTTTTTTTTTTTTGAGGATGTTGTATAGCAAATATTAATATTTTTTCCAATACAATTGTTATTTACTTATTCTCTAACAGATTTATCAATGTTTAGATCAATAAATTATTTAAATTACCTTTTTATTGAAAACTAAACTTTTTTCAACAACAAAATAAAATATATTTACTACAAATATTATTTACCTGTTTAAGATAAATCTATAAACTAAGATTCTGAAAATATATTTACAGTTAAAATAAACTTGTATGAAACTATTAACTAATAAAACTAATTCTTAAGTAATTTTTCGAATAATTTTCTAATTTTAAAATATTATTTTGTATACTATGATATAGTACATATATGCTTATTTGTCATATTACTCTATGTATTTATCAATATTATGTATAGCTTTACATTTTTTGTTTGTGTCTCTAAAAAATGTTATTATATAATTAATAGTAAATTCAGATGATATTGCCCGGAGAACTTAAAAAAATAAAATTTAGTCTCTAGGGCAATAAAATAATGTATCAAATAACAGTTTTTACTTTTAAAACTTTCGTAAATTCAAAAAATACAAATATTTAAGTAATTTTTTTTTCTGTAATAAATCGAGTAGAAGTACATTACATTCTTTATAATTAAATGTGATAGATAATATTTTATTGGTTTTACTATGAAATTTTCTAATTATTTGTTTTGGGGACACTTTAAATGGGCTGAGAAAGTTTATTGAAATAATAAAATGATTACTGGTATCATTTAATAAATTATAACATATTTTATTTAGAAATAATAATCTTAAAGTTTAGATTAAGTTGATTGTTTAAGAATAGCATTACTTTACAACAAAAATTTAAAAATATCTATTCATAGCCAAGACTTAACAGTTTTTCTAATATTATTTTTATTATTCTTTTTAGGAAGTTGACAGAAACTACTAATGATGAAAAAGAATACAGCCACATTTTATTGAGTTTACTTTCTTTTGAATCTGATGATATTGTATTATACACATATTTAGCACTTAATAACAAAATGAAGAAAATATTTAATCATTTAATCCTTGATTCCAAAAAAATTGACCGGCTTATAAACAATTTACTGTGTACTAATGTGTTGAATGAAATAATATGTTTTGGCTGTAATAATTCAAATGAACAGGTATTTTAGTTTTATATTTAAGCTATTGTTAATTAGAATAAAGTTATTTTTATTTATAGATATGTCAATCAGCATCAGAAATTATAGAACAAATAATAAAATGCAAGGACATAATAAATAATAATCAATGGAAATATCTTTTAAATAATTTAACTCCAATCTTCCCAGTATTGTGTTGTTATGCTAGCCAAATATCTACTCTAGGCCAAATGATTTTGGATTTGTTTGATCCTGATCAAGCTGAGAAATTAAATATTTCAAAGTTAGCGGTACGTTATAATATTAATGTTTTGATACATTAATAAAGTTAGGTTTATAAATGGTTATTATGTATTATCTCTATTGGAGGTTTGACCTTTTGAGATGTAGTTCTGTAAAAAGTGAATTTCTGGCATTAAATATTTTAATTTTTTTAAATTATTGTTTTCTATAGCTTATATATTATTATGGTAGTATGTTTTCATAGTGTCTTCTTATTATAATGCTTTAATTCATGTCAGATGTTTCTATGTAGTTTTATAATATTTGACTTTATAATTTTTATTTATAAAAAATGCTAATAAATCATAGTAAAACCTATCACATTTACATTATAATATATTTAAATAATAAATTTAACTTTTAGCTACTTCATTCAACAATTGTAATGTTATTCAACAAAGATAATAAATCTCGAATTGAAGCAAATAATAGAATTACTTGGATTTTTAAAACATCTTTAAATAAAAACATTAAACTGCCAAATGATATTTTTGTAATGGAAATTGATGAAGTAAATGAACAAGTAGACAAGCCCATTGGTGAATATAATGTAAATAGATACTTTCTTATTTTATGTTTATAATTATACAGTGATGGCTTGTTTTGTAAGGAACAACAATTTTTAATCACAGTATATACTATAAATTTATCAGTATAATAATATCTGTTACTTACCAACTAATTAGAAATATTTTGTAAATTTATACCAGCTGTCCATATTGCACATACCTGACTCAATATTATTAACCGTATAATGTTTGATTGCTTGGAAAAATTCTAACTTAATATCTTTTTTTAGATATTTGTTTTTTTTTTAACAATATTATGTTGGTTAACTGATATATTATTTTTAATTTTACTTAAATAATTTTCCTGAGTTCAGTATTTTGAATGAGACATGAGCTGTCACTGTTATTGTTTATAAGATCATGAGTTTATAATTGTTAATATTTTTAGAAAAAAGATTTAGATGATATGATAGATTTGATTTCTAATGAATCTTCAAGTCATCAAACTATTAAATGTGCTTTATACAAACTATCAGTAATACTCGATCATCATCATCTTCAACAACATTTTATTCATAATGGAGGGATGGATATTATATTAAATTTACTTAAATCATCAAAAGTATTTATTACTATTTAATCTTTATAACTTATTTTGAGTTATCTATTAATATTATTATATATTTTTTAGATGTTTGTTAATGAACGTGGATTGTTAATTGCATTATTAAAATTAACTTTATGTTTTACAAAGAAAAAAGAATTAATTATTAATGATCACAATTCATTAGCAAATAATATTGAAATACAACAACAGTTAATCTTGAGTACATCAATTATAATACTATAATTTATTGTATATGTTTATATTTAAAACATTTTTGTGTATTACAGTTTTGTCTGATTTTTATGAGGTTCCACTTGTAAAACAATATGTGTTTCAAATATTTTTTTATTGTATTTTCAAACAATATTTAACTTACTTTGGTGAAATACCAGAAGTAGTTGAGAATAAAATAAATACTCCTATTAAAATCAATAAATATAAGTTTACAATTAACAATTCTGATGACAAGATGCTATTTTCAAGTAAGATTAATAACCAAATATTTTATCAGTTTTATTTGAATTAATGTACTTTGTTTATTTTGTATTTTAGAAATTAAAGAGAATCAAAATTGTATGGAAGTTTTAATACTAACATGGCATTTGAATCATTATGATAGTATTGATGTATTTTTGGAAGATGGGCTTACTGCAAATACACAAAACGACAAATTTAACAATATTTTTCAAAATTTTAGAAAAGCTAGTATTAAATGGTCAGTTAAAAAATATTTGGTTGATTTAATTGCTGCCAAGTCACATCAAGTAGCATTAGCCATTCTTAGTGATTTGAGGAGGTAATAAATTCTTTTATTTTGCATGGCTTTTAAATATATACTCAACAATGACCATAATAATAGTTGATATATAAATTACATTTAAGAATAATAGAAACTGTAGCTTATACATAATAATACAATAATTATAATCATATAAAGTTCCAATTATGTATTTATGTCCAGTTAGTATTTATTTATTTTATTATGTTTAATTTTTATTGTTTTTAATCTTGACAATGGCACATGTATTAATATTTTGGAAAGATAATAATTCTTATACTATTTAATGAGAGCGCGAAAAAACCTTTTATGAATGTGTTATAAATTATTAGCACAATAATACTAAGAAAAACCTCTATTTTTCAATGTAATATAGGAAATAGAATTAAGGTTGTTTATGGCTTTGAGAATTTTTAATCTCATAGTGTCCAATTTTCATATTTAAAACTGATGTTAAATAACTGATACATTTATAATCATATCAATAAACGTCACACAACCTATAAACATTCAAAATTCAGAAGTTACTACATACTACTTAGAAATTAGAAATCGAAATCGGAAATATCGAAAGATCTAACCAAATATTATGTTTTTTAAAATGTGAACCGATGAATCTTTATCATAATTCATAATACACTTGGTTCAGATTCAAATTTATTCAGTATTTAGTTTCATCACGACATTTATTGTGTTTCACGAAACATTTCTGACTACCTACACTGTAATTGACTGCCGCGTCATTATACTACCCCACGGTTACAGCTCTATGGTTTATATAATTCGTTATCAGCAATTTAGTTTTTTATTTAATTTTATTATATCACTCTACTGTCAATAAACTATAGTCTATAGTGTCTATACTCTATAAGACGTATATTTGTCTATGATCAAACCGGTAACATATTATATACCGGACTGCATGCCTGCCTGCATAGTACATTTTATTATATAAGTATCAACTATCAGTGTCCAGTCTAAAGTACGAAGTACGCGGTCGCCAGCTCATAGTTTTACGTTTGACTTTGAAAGATAATAAATCATTGATTGTAGTCTACTTATAGATTAATTTCATTTTTTTACGTTCAGTTCGTAAGAAGTGATTTTTCTTGTAGTTTTTTTAGTTTTTCGAATTATTAAACGTTTTAATACCTACATTTTTATATATTATTCTTCAAAATGGCAATTTTTATAAGATCGTCAATGTCTAAATCAAAAATGATTTTTTCTCTGTCGAAAATTATTACACCTGTGACTTCAATGAAACTATCCACATGTAACTTAGAGTATATTATTACTGAAAAAGTTGGCGAGAAAAAAAATGTTGGTCTTGTCAAACTCAATAGACCTAAAGCTTTGAATGCTTTATGTGATGGTTTGGTCACAGAATTGACTGAAGCTGTGTCTGCTTATGATGCCGACGATTCAGTTGGAGCTATTGTGGTTACCGGTAGTGAACGTGCATTTGCAGCTGGTGCTGATATTAAAGAAATGCTTGACAAGACTTATTCAACTAATCTAAAAATTGGTTTACTCAAACAATGGGACAATCTGAGTAAATGCAAGAAACCAGTTATTGCTGCTGTAAATGGTTTTGCTCTGGGTGGTGGATGTGAATTAGCAATGATGTGCGATATAATCTATGCTGGAGAAAAAGCTAAATTTGGCCAACCTGAGATTGTGATTGGAACCATTCCTGGAGCTGGTGGTACTCAGCGTATGATACGTTCTTGTGGTAAAAGCTTTGCAATGGAAGTATGTTTATCTGGAAACCAGATTTCTGCTCAGGAAGCATTATCTAGAGGATTAGTTAGTAAGGTGTTCCCACCAGAAAAGTTAGTTGACGAAGCTATTAAATTAGCTGAGAAAATTAGTGAACATTCACCTCTAATTGTTGCGTTGTGTAAAGAATCTGTAAATTACGCATATGAATCAAGTTTAAGTCAAGGTTTACAATTTGAGAAGAAGTCATTCTATGGAACTTTTGCAACAGATGACCGAAAGGAAGGAATGACTGCATTCGTTGAAAAAAGAAAACCAAACTTTTCTAATAATTAATAATAAATGTAATTCCATTGTATAGTTTTGTGTACAATTGTTGTTTACATTTAAATTTTAATATATTGTTAATTTTTTATACAAAATATATTTACTATCTTTGTTCAATTTTTATTTCTAACTATCACTACTAAACTTGAAAAAAAAAATACCACTGTAGATGTGGTTTGTCAAGGACATTTAGTTTATTTATAAAGTTTAAAATATTTATAACAGAACAATTAAATATTTTAATTTTTTCAGTTGTTGTGCCCTGCCAATAAAGGTTAAATTGTTTTGAATTTCTAAATCATGAGACCAATGAAAGTGTAATATAGTATCGCATAATAATTTAAATTAATAACATTTAATATTAATAGAAAGATATCTGATATTTTTTTATTTTATACAACTCTAAATTCACAAGTATTATAAAAAATTTTATTCTTTAGAATTTTATGTTATAGAGAATTAATAAATAAAATTAAAATAAACTGTATTTATACTTAACATGCATGTTATCCTATAAATATTCAACATATTCTAAATATTTTAGTTTAATAAATGTAAAATACTGTTATTTCCCCAGATATTTAGAAATAAGTATATACATCGAGCAATTTGAAGTAGACGAAGAATTATTAGAAAATGCATTAAAAAAATTTTTAATATTGCCTCCAATTTTTTTAACTGATTTACAAACATTAATCGTTGTTTTAAAACTGTTAAATTTTGCATTGACAAAAAGTATGTATATTTTTAATATTATAAAATAATTTAACCCTAATAATTATACAATTTTCCAAAATAATATTTCTAGGAGTTTTAATAAGTAAATTAAATTGGGTTGCTGAAGTATTGATGAAATCTGAACGTATGCATCATTATATGGCGGATGATTTTAAAAATGATGATAAATCAAAACAATTGGTTTGTAATTAAAATGTATATAATATGTATTGTTTTTCTTAAAATAAAGTTAATTTTAATATTTTTGTTTCCAGTGTAATCAATTTTTTATTGAACTTTATGAAGTATATTGGCTTTGCTTAAAAAACTATAGTCATTTTTCAACATTAAATTTAACAAAACTGTTATTTGATCGATTAGAATCTACAAAACATGAAATTGGTATAAACATATTTATATACATATATTTATTAATAACAATATAAATCTATTTAACTTAAATATACATTATAATTAATTGAATAAACTCATCAAGATTTTAAGTATTAGAGACAATACTTTTAGATTTTACATTATTTAATGAATGTCTTGCTAAGATGAACCCTTCTTTTTATTATAAAGAAAATTAGATACAATAATATTTAGTCTACTATCTAGTACACATTGCATTCAAATCAGTTTTGATAAATTAATAATTGTAATTACTATGATTTGAAAATTATTATAGCCTTAAACTTTTTCTAAGGCTATTTTATTCTTGATACATAAAGTTTAGTGATGCAACCAGAAATTTTTCATGGGAGGAGGATTTGACAAAATAAACCACTTTTATCTTAATTATAGCAAATGAATCATTACTAATAAATATTGTAATTTATACTGCCAAGGGGGAGGGGGTTCAGATCCAGAGTCTACCCCTTTCAATTGCGCCACTGATAAAGTTTAATAACTTATTTGCTTAACAATTAATATAAACATAATTGTTTCTTAACTCCCTTAAAAGATATCAAAATCTAAATATTTTTGCAATTATAATCTATAAGTGCCCATTCTAAAAAATCCTAAAAATCAATAATTAGAATTTGAATAAATGTATACTTAAAGAAAAAATATAAATGAACATGCTGGTGAATCACTCAATATATATTTAAATTTATATTGATTTATTAATAATATAGAATACTGCAATTTAATTGATTTTTACTATATTCTTTTACATTTTTTACTTAAAGATGAAATATTAACTATAAAATATTATTTTTAAAACAATATGTAATATTTTATATTTTTTATAACTAAAATTGTTAATTATTTAATAAAAATAAAAATAAAGAATTTATTGATGTTTATAAATGTTATAAACATAAATAATTAAAGTGTATCTAACATTTAAATAGTTCTCAACAATTATTATTTGTTTGCATAGTTTTAATAGTATACAACTTATTTTTCAGTTTTATTACAAGGTAATATGAAGTGTCTTGCTTTATTAACGGAAAATACAAAACAAATAGATAAAGAACTTGTAAAAATGTATTTATCTCAATTTACTTCATTACAAACAATAGTGATGAATAGTTCAAATGAAAAATATTTGCAGCGAAGTTATTTAGCTGTCTTGAACCACATCCTCCACCATACAATTTTTATACCAAACGTAAAATTAACATTTAATTTATTACTTTATTCCTAAGTTTAAAACATGCTATAACAATTTAACTTTACTAATAGATTTCTGAAGTATGGTGTATGTACGACTGGGAAACATGGACATGGTCAATGATACACAATACTGATTCATTAGTACAGGCTCTAGTGTTTCAATTTTCAGCTGGCTTGGCTGTTATTGATGTTCCAGTATCACTTAATTTAATTCACCTTGCATTCAAGTACTTATTTTAGTTTTACTACATTTTATACAATTATATGTACTTGCATATTCAGTTTAAATAACAATTCAAATTTATTTTTAGTTATTTTTCTGAATCAAATTACTTGGAAAATTGTGTTATTGCTGAGCAAGTGACTCTATTTTGTTCAAATCTATTTTGTTCTCCTAAGTTTAAAGTAATATTTATTATTTGATCAAAAACAATATATTTATTTAAAATAATATTATTAAATTTTTTCTAGAGCTTATGCCACCAATACATATCTAAATTGGATTTTAATGCTTTTATTCAAATTATTAATTTGTGTTCATATTATGAGTATACCAAACCTGGTGGGTAAAATAATTAAGTGTTAATATAAATTAGTCTAAAGATTAATGTAAATAATATTTTTGTACAGAAAAAAATTACTTTTTGACATCTCCTAAACTTGTGTCTAATGTATGTTGTATGCTTTTCAATGTGTTTACATTGACAGAAGTAAATTTATACGAACTTGATCAACATAATCAATTTGTACAAGCACTGTTTCTGTATGTATTTTGTATATTATTAAGCTGCTAAATATTTAATATTTGCTTAACTCTTATGATTAATTAAGAAATTATTTACAATAATATATTTGAATTTCTTAACTTTTTTTTTTTTTAAGTAACTATTATGTTCAATAATTTTTATTATTTAGCTATTATATTAAAGTGACAGATATTTTTAAAATTTCCACAGATCTTCATAGTTTATATTTTTTATATTTTATATAATTAGAAGTTTTAATACATTTTTAATTAAATTGAACGACTTTATCAATTCGTATGCATTTATTAGAACTATAATCAGGCAGATTATCCTTTCTCAATAATCTACATATTTTATTTTATGTTATAATTCTATAATCATCTTTATTATTAAATTAATTTTTACAATAATTTAATACAACTCACTATATAAAACATTTTTCTTTAATATCATATGTTTTTGAACTATAAAAATAAATGTATAGTTTTTACTATAAATTTTAATTTAATAATCATATACTTATTTACTTATACAGGTGCTTAAAAAAATATCTGACTCCTATGATTTTTGAAAACCCAGATATTATGGAGATGTGTGGTCGAATATGTTCCATTCTTACGCTATTTATACCTGTTAGCAGTTATAATTTTGAAAATTTGTTAAATTCTTTGAATATTATTTATGAAAGAATCGATATTAATTTAGGTAAATATAACATATTTACAACAATTTATCTAGTTTAAAAATTATAACATTCTTATGGTGTTTTAGATCATTGTACAATTATGGTATGGAAATCATTATTTAAACTGACAACAATAGTTATACAGTGTAAAAATTATGAAACATTTATTATAACAAATGATTTTATAACTGCATTATTAACTAGTATAACTTCCAAAAATAAAGATTTATGTATTGAAGCATTAAATGTAATTTCTTTAATATTTCCAAATCTATCTGAATGTAAGTAAATAATTCATAATATGCTTATCTTTTACCTTGAATTTACTTGGGCATTTTAAGTTTTAAAAGAATTTAATTGCCTATTATATTCATTTTAAAATTAATTATTGCTGTATTTTTTTTAATAAATTATAATAAAACTTAAAATGTTCTAGCCTAATATATAATATTATAAATAAAAAAGTGATTTAATTTGAAAACTTTGAAACACTTTTTCTTAGTCATGTTCCAAAAAAAAAAAAAAAATATATCACCACTTTGTAAAACACTAGCTTCTGCTAGTAATATTAAACTACATATTTTAGTATTAATTTGTTGTAAATTAGTATGATTTGTAAATGTCCTTGACTACTGATCTAAAACATTTAAATTATATTAATTACTTTTAGGTCCTGCATTGCAGAATGAATTATAAACATTTGACACAACAGTAATTCAATAATTGTTTATCAACAATTATAAACATTAAGTCAAGAATTATATTGTTAAAATATACTTAGTAATTTAAATTTTTGAAATTAAATAACTGAACATTTAACTAATCAAACTCTTAATTTTTTTGTAATATAAAATTTTTAATATTTTTATGATATAAATGAAAATACAAAATATTTATAAAGTTTGACTTTAATAAATATATTTTACCCATTTTTTTTCGTATACTCTAGTATAATGTAATTATAACAATGAATTTTACACTTGTCTTATATTTAAAACTATATTCAACATTTATAAATTAAATTTAAAAAGATGCCTATTAAATATTCATTTTATTTAATTTTATCTAGCATTTGTTCATCATATATGCAACATTTTAATTCATACATTATTCTTGGAATGGCATCATAAATTAATACGAAAAATGTTATTAATTGCATTATCAAACTTATTTCTTGAACACCCATCAGCATATGAAATAGCAAGGCAAGATAATGTATTATCGTTCATCATTTCTAAATTGAAAGTTATGCAGTTACAAGTTACTAAACAATCAAACCGAAAATCAGTACGTATATTGTTTATATTATTACATTTTCATCAATAATCATATTAGCATTGAATAAA